AAAAAAAAAAAAAATTATTTCGTCAAAAAATTATCGAGATTAAAATAAATCCTTAACTTCTTTCACGATTCACCTTCTTTCAATTTCCATTCTTCGCACAAAATGAAACTTTTGCACAAGTTTTTCACTTCTACAAAACAACATTATACACATATAGATAAACATTCTTCAAAATAAATCGCATTTCCAATTCTTTCCAATTCAATACTCGCCCCCCTCCCCCCTTTCAGAGTCATCATTTTAACGATACACAGCACATACATCGATTCACGGGGAAATTTCAAATTGAAAAATTTCGTTTCCCCAAAAAGGGAGCGCGACGACGATAAAAGGCTTTCGAATTGCGCGCGAATAAAGGCGCGTTTCTAAAGTGTTTGCACGGTTTCCTTTTAATGCGCTGTAACCGAGGTGTTCTCAAAAATGCTCGCTCGAAAGAAACGAAGCGGAAAAAGAACAGGGATACCCATCGTGGCCTCTGTAAACCGATAACGTAGCCACGCTTCTCCTTTTGTTTCGCCATCCTCGCCATTTCGCCAACAGGCGAAATCTAATTAATTTCTTTCCTCCCGCTACCATCGTCGGGGGACCACTTTGAGACGAAGTGTTAAAGGAAATAACTCGAAGGTAGTGACCGACATTCTTCCATCCGGTAAACCGAAACCCTTTTGTGCTCTGGAAACTCGTCCCTTTGCTATCCGTGCCCCTGCATTAACTTTAATTGATCGTTATGGCTTCTTTTCTCTCGATCCACTCTCCAATGAACGAATCGAATTATATATTTTCTTCGTCCGCGATTCGATTACCGGCCCCGTTGATTGCTTTCAGAACCTACGTATAACAAGATATTTATGGAGCAGAGGTTCTGCCTCTTGCTCGTGAGAATTAGATATATATATATATATATATTATATATTTGCTTTTGATTCTTGTTTTTATTAATCCTTGTAATTGCAAATTTTTTTGTTTTGAATTATTAGAAGATTTGCAGAATGTTTTGTATTTTTATAAAAATATAAAGTTAAATATTTTGAACTCGAGTTTTGAATAATATCATTTCTATGGGGGGAGGAAAAGTAGGTAATGTTTTCTGTAAATAAGAAAAATTGGCTCTATTTGGTTTGTTTAATGAAAATTAAAGACGATATATCGCTCTATTTATTTTGATCGTAAGTAGAGTTTGCATCCAAAGTTTAATCTCTCTAAACCTTTTCTTCTGTAAAGTTTAACCCCTTGGGGCCGGTCTAAAAGAATTTCTAGCGATACAATTTCTTCACCCATTTCATTCACGCAATCGTTTCAATGAGAATTTTAAAAATTATAATAGGATGATGGACACAAAGTACTCATGCTTTTGTTGTTGTCGAAGAATTAATCCTAATTAAACTGTTAAACTTTCATTCACCTGTTAAACTTGCTCAAGACGAAAGAAGGATCGATCTCTCGAACGAGGGGGGTGAAACAGAAATAATAATCGCAAAGTAATTATAAACTCTGAAACTCCTTTGCCCCGTTACAACAACCTGGAACACTTTGCCACATCGCCAGAAGGAAAATTAAAAGCCTTGAATCTATAATATGCGTGCTCCAGATTCAGTTTTCCTCTTTTTTTTTTTTTTCAAAATGATGAAACCAATACTTCCGTTTTGCAAAAGCGGAAGAAGCGTTACAAGACGTATAACGTTTGCGCTTCTCTTCGTTTCGACGCGAGAAACAACGAAATAAAAGTCGAAGCAGCTCGAAAAATTTCTTTCGAATGGATAGAAACAATGAAAATAATAAAAATATTATTTATATATTATTTGTTCGAATCGGTTTGCTTGCTTTCTTCCTTAGGTTAAGATTACGTCAAGATTATGTCATTTCGTGAAATAATTTATATAGGTTCTGGAGGTTATCCCAATCGAGGTAACACATGCCTAATAAATGTTAAGACCTTTAGCTGATTGCGTGCGATTATCGCTAAGCCGATCCGATATCTGATTATGTCACGAGTCGTGTCTTGGGATCACAGTTGAGGTTTAAACAGAGATCCTACGAGATTCAATAAATATACACTTGACATTCTATTAATACACACATATATATTCACGTCACAATATAATTTTCGTAACTCGATAATAAAAAAAAAGAAAAAAATAGGAAAAGCTTTTTACAGGAATGATTGTTGACAAGGTAGTGGAAACAATAAATAAACGCATTAATTTGGCTGAACACGTGTTTAACAAAAGTAATTGCGTCTTCTTATTACAATATATTTGATATCGCTGATAAGGTTCAATAATAAAATAAAATTGTGTGATTTTTAAGTAAACTTTAACGATGATTATTTGCAACAATGATTAATTAAATATCTTCGATAGTACTGATTACAAAAAAAATGTTTAATTCAAAAAAAATTTTTTTCATCAAAATTACGAGATAATTACCACTCAATTTCTTCCCTTCTTCTAATTTTCTTAAAAAAAGGAAAACAATTATTTCGATCACTCAACGTACATATCTACAATAATTAACTCTCTCGTTTTTCTCTTATTTTTCTAATTTCCGTAATCCAGCAATCGTTATCCCATCATCATCGGGACACATCGTTGAATGACATCGAAAACGACAGACGGTGGACATTCGATCCCGCAATAAAAGCAAATCGATCGATAAAGCGGCGATTGATCGTGATCCAATTACGGGGGAGCACGGTGAACGCAATCATCATTATCGAGGCATCGCGCGTTATGCGAGGCTGCCTTCGCGATAATATCCAGCGTGATAGGTCGTGTACTTTCCCGCATTATGCGGTACACGCGTGCAACGGCGTAAACGTTTCCACGCTGTTCGTAAACGCATCGAAAATCGGACGCGCGCAAAGAACGTTTTGCTCTTCTTCGTTAACTCGCATCGATTGGTTACTGGATGGAGAATAAGATCTTATCGTGATTACATGACATTAAAAGCGTGAAAGGGAATGATGATATGAAATAGTTACGCGGGAAATGGTGATTTGTCTCGATACAAATGTCTCCAATGTTAATTGAAGCGATGTTTTATTTTATCTTATTTTATCTCAAGAAAAGTTTCGTTTCGTCAATTTCGCGCATTGAATTGTTTGTCGAACAGAAGTATGCTTATCTTCAATAATGTATTCGAAATAAATAAGTATACTGAATATAATTTGAGTAAGATCATTGTCGATCAGAGGTATCGATCTTTATTTTTAATACGGTATAATTCATAGATCGATTTCGCAATTAATATTGAAGTTTTTGATCATAGAATTGAGAAGTAATGTATATGGACGTTGCAGTTCCAGACAAAAGCAAGGAGCCAGAATCGAGGCAGTTCGTCGGCCTGGTTATCGGTATATTAACCACTGTGATCGTGATGCTTCTGGCGGCAATCACGTTCATTTTCTACAGGAATCGAAGGCTGAAGGCTGCCCTCGCGCCTTCGACGTTTTACGATCAACACGGCGACTTGAAGGTAAGATAAACTTCTCTCCCTTATTTTTACTCAATATCTTCTCCGCTCTTTACACAGAATTGTTATCGTAACGATATTAACTCTCAACGCGAGTGCTCGAATACTTAAATATAATTATTTTATTCGATACTTTGCCCAACAGAAAATTATCCATCCGTCCACGCGCCTTTTCTTTCCAATTTTCCAAAATATAATTCCAAGCGAAATCGCGGCATAAACACACGCAGCATAAATAAAGGATCGTGCAAACAGCGCGGAACAGCGTGGAATTCAATCAGACGGTTGAATCCATCGTTTAAAACTTTCGAATTACTTTCCGTTCGAAAGTTTACATTAGCCAAGTCTCGTTTAAAATCCTTACAAACAAACCGCATTTATTTCTCCTCCCCTTTCTTTCTTTCTTTTTTTTTTTTTTTACTCCGAGTACTCGATTTCACGCTGTTACTACACACTGTCTCGCCGAGAGCTCTTCTTTCAGATCGAATAAAAAGAAGAGGAGGAGGAGGAGGAGGAGGAAAAAAAAGAGGAAGAAAACGAAAAAGAAAATTAAAAGAATGGTTAAAACAATTCGAGACCTTGGCGACTTTCGATCGAAACATCGACCTCGTTACCTATCGGTTTTAATTCGAAACCAGCAATTCGCCAAACAGGATCAACACGATGATCACGTTTCAGAGATTTCTTTTCCTTTTTTTTTCTTTTCTTTTTTTTTCTTCTCGAGTCGCGGATTCATTTCGAGTCTAATAAAGCGAATAGCGCGAGGCTATTTGCTCTCCTCCCCTTCCTTCTCGCGAGGAAGGTGCGTTCGACGACGAGGAAGGCTTTTGAGCAATCATGGAGAACCGTCTTAGCAGCGTTAGACGCGTGATGGAAGATGTGACGGGATGGAGAAAGGGGGAGGGGGAGGCTGGTCAAATATTTTCTTTGGACCGGGCAAAAGGACAAATGGGATTGCGCCATCGATGATCGAAGACGGGGAGGAAAAGAGGTATCCTCGATAAATAGCCGGGAGCCGCGTAACGAATATATTTCTCATAGGACGTTTTAATTGTGATAAGACGTATATCGAGTTTATTGGAATTAAAAGTAAACACGCGATGGACACGCGTGAAAGTGAAGAAAGGAAAATAATCCTTCTAATCTTCGAATGTTATTACGAATATTATTTTAAAGATTTTAAAATAAATCTAAAAAAAAATACTTCAGATTATTGCAAATAACATAGAACGGAATTGTAACAAATAAATCTTTCAAACGATTTTCATTCCGATGAAAATGAACTACGTCAGCACGGTCCGAGTTAAGCTCGAGCGTTTACTCTACTCTTTGCCAAACGAAATAACTAAGTGACGCCAAATTGGAGGCGACATTATCCAAGACATTGCATCCTCTCAGGAATGCGTACCTATCCATCTTTCTCAACGACAGAATACTTCTCTGTTCGCCATGGACCACCCATTCGTTCGAGAGTCGCTCGAAAAAGAGAAAAGGAGAAAAGAAAAAAACAAGAGAGACGAGAGAAAAAGAAATGGATCGTCGAAAATCCGAGAGGAGACTCGGCCACTTTTGGAAAGGGGAAATGGCGCGTGCGTAAATTCCAGTTGCTGTAATACCGAGAATTATTAAAGTTTTATATTTATTGTCATCCACAGTTGGTCTAGGCCCCTCTTTGGCGAAAAGAGGGCGCCACTCTCTGTCCGCGTAATGAGACCGCGAAGACGGATCCACTTTGTCCCCGGGAAAAAAATTAATTACCGCCGTTAGAGGAGAGATCCGCCGGGGCGGAGGGGAAAAGGGGAGGGCGAAATTGGAGACGATGGAATTCAACGCTCTCGCTTTCCATTGAATTTATGAAATGAGACGCGTACCGGCCAGGAAATATGTAAATGATGGGGTGAAATTGGTATTTAACGAAGCAACGGATGCGAATGAAAGTGGGGGAGGATGGGTTCCGCGTGAAAATGATGTCGAGGACTTGTTCGTTTAACGAAATTTAACGATTCTCGTGTACGATATATCCTGAAGATTTTTTTTTTTTGTGATTGAACTTTTTTTTTTGCTTCACTTGTGAGGTCATTTTTCTATTCTGGAAATTTTAAAGGGAAAAGATTGTAAAAAAAAGATTGTATGTTGATGTAAAGTGTTGCAGTTTCAGATTTGTATGGATAGGAAGATGTATACATACGTGTGTGGAATTGATTCCTGAAAGTGCAACTTTTGTTTTCGAGGCAAGCATATTGTACAAGAGTGAAAAGTAGATTTGAGTTCGTATAAAGAAAGATGTACAGGTTATTACAATAGCTAGTCGCAAGTTCAAAGGAATGAAAATTGTACATTTATTTTTATTCATCTTTGTTATTTAAAGATTATTTATCAATAGATGAGGGATCAATTTGGGTGAGTAGATCCAAAATTAAATGCAAATATTCGTATAAAATCGAAATATAATTAATAGAATAATTAATTTTCCTATATCGAATTTCATTAATAAGTAACAATTAATATTACGCGTATAAATATTAATAAAGTTTAAAATGGAATCCAGGGCAGATTGAAAAAAAAATTATTCCGGATAAACAATAAAAATTTGATTTCCCCATATTAAATTTCATTTGTTTAAATAAAAATCAACCTTATATGTTAATAATAATAAAATTTAAACCACATATTAAACGAAATCTTGAAAACTTATTGTAAATACTTTTTCTGCGTTGTCAAATTCAATTTAATTCTAAATATCATTTAATTTTATATATGTAGATGATAGAATGTTTCGATATTGGACGAGAATTAATCGCTAAGTCTCGAGTAATCGTCCTGTTATCGGCAACAAAGGAAATACTAAGTGACCTGTAGTGGTCGCAAGTGTATTAATAACAAGCTTTGGATGAATGGACAGCTACGAGCCTTCGATCCCATCTCTGAAGTGTACCTACAGAGGGCAGTAATTAACAGATTGTTGAACGATGGGAAATAATGGAAGCCAGGCGATGGCGTGCAATTCTCCCTAGACGCTTTCGAAATGTGTTCTAAGCAACGGGTTGAATCTTAAGACAGCCACGGTACAATGCTCTGACATTTACAATTAGAGACTGGGTTATATTAAAACGGGTAATAAACATTAATTAAATTTCCACGTTTCTAGTGGAATGCGCGATTTATCGTTGAGGAAAGCTCGAATTATCGTTCCCACTGCTGTTCACTTGCGAGCAGACGCGAGACAAAGGGTTTTGCAAAATATTTTCTTCGCAAATCAAATATTT